TCAAAATTCTTGTTGACGATTAACAAATCGTTTTAGAAACATCATATAACTGGCCCAATCAAAGATTTAGGATGATGGCTCAACATTACTAACCCGTTCAAATATTTATTTTTGTCATTTGTAAAATTTATTATAACTACTCATTCACCACTAAGTCTATGGAACAAGCATTCATTATTTAAATTTAAGGTATACGAGCAAATTATCCATACGAAGACAACGCACCGGCATGTTTCAGCACTACTCATTTAACACCGCTAAATATTATAATGACATCATTATTAGGAATACAGCAAATTATCGTAAATGTAAGTCACTATTAAAACAATATATACTAAGTGACATATAAATCCGAACACCCAGTTTAAATGGTTTTATTTTAATAAAATTTTGTATAAGTACTTAATGAAGCATAATAAGCAAATAATAAAAATTTCAAAATGATTGCACTGCTTTAAAGCCCTTTGACCTTTAATAATGTGTGGATGCACCCTGATGTGCTACGCATTCTCCAACGCGCCTAGGCATGCTTCTGATCAGGTGGTTAATGTCCTCCTGTGGTATCTCATTCCAGGCAACCACCAACTCCTCTCGAAGTGCTTCTAGAGTCTGAGGAGGACGTTGCAAATTGAGCAATCTCCTACCCATCATATCCCACACGTGCTCAATTGGGGATAAGTCGGGAGATCTTGGTGGCCATGGTAACAATGTGACATCATTATGTTGAAAGAAGTCTATTGTGACTCTTGCAACATGTGGTCGGGCATTATCTTGTTGGAAAGTTGTATCTGCCAGGGTGTCAAGATAGGGTAAAAGATGGGGTTCTAGAACTTCGTGGATATAACGCTGCGCGTTCATGTTACCTCTGATGAAGATTAAAGGTGACCTGGAACCATAAGCTATAGCTCCCCAAACCATAACTCCAACAGTGTGATGAACATGTCTTTCAAAAAAAAACTGTGGATTCCTCCTTTCACCACGTCGCCTTCTAACCCTGGCACGACCATCGTGCATGCCTAAACAAAATCGAGACTCGTCACTAAAGACAATACTGTTCCATTCCTGATCCCAGAGTGACATTTGTCAGGCGATTACGTCGGTGTTCTCGAGTTAAAGGGAGGACCCAGTGTGGCCGGTATGAAAACAAGCCAAAACTTCTCATTCGTCGGTAAACACTTCGCATGCCAATAGGTCTTCCGCGTTCTGCAAACCATTCATTTGCAATGGACCTGGTAGTGGAGAAACGGTCCCTTAAGGCCAAGAATCTTAGGCGGCGATCTTCACGGTCTGTTGTTCTACGGCGGCGTCCAGTGCCCCTTGCTCTTTGCGTACGGTCTTCTCGAAGCCATGCCTGACAACACCTAACCACAGTGTCTATACTTCTTTGCACTCTAACTGCAATTGCCCGAGAAGAAAGTCCAGCTTCCCGAAGCCCCACTATACGGCCCCTATCAAACTCACTAAGTTGACGAAATCATACAGGTCTCCGTATTCTAGGCATCGTAACCGATCGTAAAGGATGTCAAGAACCAAAATCCGCCAACGTTGATTCTTTACTGCGGCTGAAATATTCATTTTTAGAGCGTTAGTGAATTAAAAAAAAGCAGTATAAAAACCGGAATGTCCAACTGATAAGGCTGAAAATTTTTTTACTTGTTATTTACAGTAAGATAAATACATTCACCAACTTTTATTAAAATAAAACCATTTAAACTGGGTGTTCGGATTTATATGTCACTTTGTATATTTTCAACACACAGTTACATTGAAATTTTAGAAGCATATAATACTTTATTTATTCTATCATGTATGCAAGGCTTTTTATACTTTAAAATATTGGTTGAGTAGATTGGGCAATGGCTAGACTCCGCCATTTGCCTCATACTTTTAATGTTATGTTGTAATAAAGCCATATTGAACTAAATTGAAATATTGGTCTAAATAAAGTGTTCTAATTAAACACCAAACGTCTTCTTGCCACTCTGACAGACAATGACTGATAGAAGTAGAGTGTTCGAATCTTTTAATACTATCCACTATCCATTAAGCAGTTCGAGGTACTCTCACGAGTGATTTCTTCCTTTGCGCCGTTTATGTCCCTACAACTACTCAAATTATAATTCGTTAATCTTTCGGATAATTTTAAACCAGTTTGGATGTGTTTCCTTGAAGGAAACACCCACCAATCATTAGTAGACAAACTTCACAAAAATAAATATGATCTGGTCGGAGTGATGTGAAAATTTTTAGTTGAATTACAGTACTATTCACACGTATTCTATAACACTTATACTCATTTCGATGATTCGCGTTAAAGTTGGCATCAGGAAATATGCTTAGCGCATATCTAATTTCCAAAATTTTGGGCGTGGAAAGTAAAATTATAATTTTATAAAGTCGGTAATTTTTTATAGTGAGTCAAAGTATTTCGATTATGGTTTCTCTTTCAAGCGAGAAGAGTGATTTGCTAATTTGCTAAAAACCAGACATAGTCCGATACAAATATCTACGAGGTTTGTTCAAAAAGTATCGCGAACTTCATGTTTTTTCAAGAATTATTTATTTTTCTGGAACAAGAAAAAGTCACAGGGGGCCAGGTCTGGGGAATACGGTGGGTGAGACATTATTGGAATGTTGTTTTTGGCCAAAAATTCGCGTACAAGTAACAATGCATGAGTTATCATGGTGCAAAAGCCAATTCGTGTTCTTCTACAAATCCGGGCGTTACTGGCGGATTGCTTCTCGCAGGTTGCGCATTACTTAAAGGTAATATTCCTTATTGACCGTTCTACCCTGCGGCAAGAACTCATCAATGTTTTCGTCTGTTCGGGTGTCCGGAACGCTTTTCGTCGCTCACATCGTCTCGGTCCTATGAGAACATTTTGTACCACCGATAAACGTTGCTTTTGTCCAAAGTAGCTCAAAAACATTTTAGATACACTCTAGTCGTAAAAAGTACATATTTGAAATCACTTAGACCTATAACTAATAGAACATCTGAACAAATATACAATGTGCGAATAAATGCGCGAAGTTAACAAAGCGACAATTGAAAGATTACCATTGGGTAACATCACCTTTATTTTTTATTACGGCTGAAATTCGTTGGGGCATAGTGTTAACCAAGTTTTGGCAAAAATTTGGTGTAAAACAATCCCATATTTCTTGAAGCTTTTGTATCTGTTCGGTGATTGTACGAGCAGGACGTTGTCGTAGAACCTTTTTCATCTCGTGCCACAAAGTTTCAATAGGTCACAGATCTGGACTGCTAAAAACCAGTTATTTTCTTCCATCCATTTTATAGCCTTTTTTGAGGTATGGCACGCTGCACCATCTTGCTGAAACACAAAATCTTGGCCGGATGTCAAACATTCTTCCATCACTGGTAAAAGCGATTCTTCTAAAATTGCCAAATATTTGTTTGTATCCACATTTCCATCAATAAAATGAAGTTTTCCTACTCCTTTTGAGGACATTCTGCCCCAGACCATAATGGATGCTGGAAATTTCACTTTTCTCTTCAGACAGTCAACATGGAATGCTTTATTTTATTGCGACACAAAATTCGAATCGGGCCTCATCACTCCACTGTATTGCACACCATTGTTGAGGTGTCCGTTGTCTATGTTCTTTAGCCCACTTAAGCCGATTTTTCTTTTGCAGTGAAGTTAATAGTGGCTTTTGTTTGGCCTATAAACAAGTTGTGCAACTCTAGGGTTTTTACTTCACTTTTTTTATAAGAAAACTTACCTTGTTAAGTGCTAAATCCCAGTTTGTGGGCCTCTCTGTGAGTTGTGGACCTCGAAATTCTCCTTCCAAAAGCGTCACTCCACAGAGCACTTAATTGTAAATAATTGGCACGCCTGTTTTTCACGATTATTCTTTTTAATGCTCTTCGGTCGGCATTTGTGATATTACTTTTTTTCACATATCGTGGCTTAATATTAACTGAACCAGTTACGTTATATCTTCTAACAATATTTCTCACACTGTACCGCGATAAGTCTAACAAAGTTGCAATTTCTGAGTTTGATTTCCCAGAATTAAAAAATTTAATTATCGCTAACCGAATTTTCTCACTAATAACCTTTCCTCTACCCATTTTGAAAACCTTAACTACCCAAAACTATTTTAAACGTATTTTGACAGCTGATATTAATAAAAACAATTGTCATGGTTTTTCTTTTTCACAGCCACCTATGCGTTATAGACTTATTTTGCATTGAAATGAAAATAGGTTGATATGCTGTAATTGCAACATGTGTTATTTTTATGCTGCAAATTTGATTAGGGAGTGATAAAGTTGGTGTTTTCTACTATATATTATCAAAATATTCATTGTTAAAATTTTAAACCTATAACATCCTGCTACATGTTTATTATTTGTGTTTGATAAGAAAAAAACTAAGATTTCAATAGTTGGGCCAACTGAAGTGAGAAGGGGCTCGTATGTGTTGTATTATCGAAGCCAGTTTTGGGTATCTCTTGAGTAATGAAATGACCAAAACATGATAAATATGGTCATTAGCATGAGGTTCGTGGACAAACTAAAGCACTTTGGAAAGGCAGTTATCAATATAGCTCTGACTATTCAAAGTTTCATCCCTCAGTCCTCCCACAAAAGGTTGGGATACATCCCTGTTAGGAATTGTGCACCAGACAAGGATTTTATCTGCAATTTCGCAACATTGTTGGACATTCCTCTACGTTGTCCGATATTTAAGACCCTTCCACCTCAATTTCAACGATATCGTACTCTTAGAAGAGAGAAACTCTTGTTTATAAAGGCAACTTAACATTATTTTGTGTTTGTTAAAATAAAAGCCAATCAATTTTGTGCCATAACTTTTAGGTAATACCTTACTTACCTTAACGTAAAAACACTGATACTAATCGGTACCAGCTAATTATTTAAAGGGTTTTTGGGTAAATGGGCCATAACAACGAGTGTTTGCATTGTCTTTTAGGTATCTTCGGATTTTAATAAATTAAAATTATGCTTTTTTTAATGTTTTATTAAAAATAAATATTTAACATAGAATTCCCAGGACGTTTAACATCATTTATAAAATAAAATACACATTTGAAAATATAATTATGATTACTTAGTCTAGTCAGTCATATTTATATAAACAGAAGACGATTATCAAGCACATCTTTGGCGCACGCGCATTAATAAAATAAACTACTACCGATGTTTCGGCGACCAATTTTTTTTTCAAACTACAGACCTTTAAACATAAGTGGATCAGAGAGACATCTATAAGTTTCATTACCTCGCATATCATTTTTGATATTTACTACAAGTATATAGTCTCTAGGCCTTCTTGCATGGAAGCATAAATAATCAAGTATGTGCCATAAAGTTAAGAGTAGTAATTTTAAGACAAAAAGTTCATATGGACATAGGTCGGTTAATTCTCCGTTCTCAAGATACAGGGTGTTAAAATTGAAGAAAAAACTGTTTTAAATATCCTTTGCCTAATTTTTTTTTGTAATTTGGCGGTGGTGTTTATAACAGTAAGGAACTTAATTTATCCTTAAGTTGATTAAATTTATTAGGTCCACTGACGACTCGATCGGGATCTGAACGAATATTTGTCGCAAAAAAATGTACGTCACTGACTTTTGTGGAATTTTTATTATGTTCTTTAGATTAAGCAAATAGAAATACAACGTGTTTGTCTTTTGAATTTTTTTCGTGTCTGGCTTAGTTTTCGAGAAAATAAAAAGTCAAATTAATCGCATATCCCCTATTCAAGGAATATAGGGAAAAGTTTCTTTTCTAAATTATTAGATATTTTTTTATAATTTTTATTAAAATGAATATTATTAAAAAAATTATAATTTCCAAAAGAAATTTGTCCCCATATTCCTTGTGGGGTCCAAGGATATGCGGTTAAGTTAATTTTTTCTCGAAAACTAAGCAAGATACGGAAAAAAATCAAGAGACAAAAAAGTTGTATTTCTATTTGTTTAATCCAAGGAACATAATAAAAATTGCACAAAAGCCAGTGGCGTACATTTTTTTGTCTACTAAATCAGCTCTTTAATGTTATAAATACTACCGCCGAATTACAACAAAATTAGGTTAAGGATATTTAAGATATTTACGAAAAAACATTTTTTTTTAAATTTCAACACCCTGTATCTTGAGAACGAATAATTTGCGGAGCTATGCTTATATGAACTTTTTGTTTTAAAATTACTCAAAGAATCGTCTGTTAAATTTATGGTACATTCTCAATTAAATATTCTTATTCTTTTGGTGTTGACATATTACGAATTCCCTTTACAAAACGTATCTCTAGGTTTATTATAAATACAGACGTAAGCAAATAACATCCTTAATCCTAAAATGTAACAGGAATGATATGCTTGAAGCTGTTGAAATTTTTACAATACACGTGACAAAGAACTAAACTGATGGCGGGCATGACGTGATTTATTGCCTAAAAGTGGTTTTATTTCTTATTCTAAACCTCCCAAACAACGCCTCGCTCGTTTTTTCAAGTATGGTAGTATAGAATAACAAACATAAAATGAAAATCAATCGTTTCGGAAAACATGACTTATTCCAGTAATCAAAGCAGCATCAATGGAGTTTCTGTTTGTGATACGAATATTGATAAAAATTGATATCTTATGTCTATAGGTAGTTCTGATAACATAGCGTATCTCTTCCTGGTAAGCAACCTCGAATTATTTAGGGAGTAATCGTGGAATGTACTCGGAAAATGTGGTGCACCTTCAGGAAAAAAAACGTCAGGCATCTTTATTACGTGTTAACATTTGGTCTTAGGGTTAAATCAATATATTCTTACCGATACATTGTAAATTAGTGATGCAAGCGATAGATACACATAAGGTCAAGGCGTGTAAAGTGTCACTTGCTACGAAACCAGATAGATATTTGAAGTTGAAGAAAAGTGTGGAGATATCTACCGGATAACATAGTATATAATAATCAAGTTTTATTGGGAAAGGGCTATACTACAACTATTTGAAACTGTAATGACTCATACGCGTGCTCAACACGTGATCAGAGCTCGATCCCGGCTTCCTTCCAGTACAGCCGTATAGCGTACGACATATGTCGTTTCTGTGGCTTTGCGGTGGTCAACAGCACAGACAGAGATGGAAATAATGGCTGATTGTTCTCCGCCGGTAGAACCAATGCAATCAAAGACGCGCCTCGACCGGCAGACTCATAGGCGTCGGCAACGCATTGGAACGTGTTTCGTTGAGCGATCGCATATTGTGTGTTTTTATAAGAATTGTTGTGTGATTGTTATTGTTGTGGTTTCTGTGGTTACTGTTTTGGTTATGCTTAACCATGGAGAGTACAAATGGCACGAGTGGAAGTACTGAAAGCCAGGGAACAAGTAGACGGCTTCGTAAAGCACTGAAGAGGGACGCGAAAGAAATCGTGCTCAACGTGTTCAATTATCTGAACAGAACTATGTCGCAGGGAAATGCACTCGCGCGTTGTGAAAGTTTGACAGGCGTTCCAGAGTGGACCATTCGCAGGCTGGTGCATGAAAAGAAGAAAGCTGGAGCTACTACTGATCCAAAGTTTAATTTGAAGGGACGAAAGGCCGTTAAATTAGATGACGATAGCAAAATGGCGTTAAGGCGAACCGTACATTCATTCTTCTTTAGGAATGAGATACCAACCCTCAAGGCTGTACATGCAGCGATCAAGGAAAATGAAATTATACCCCAAATGAGCGTTGAGGTAATGAGGAAATCCCTGCACGAAATTAATTTTCGTTACGAAACGCGTAATCGGAAGTCAGTATTGATAGAGAGACCTGAAATAGTCGCCTGGCGTCGAAAATACCTACGCGAAATGTTTGAATATAGGCGACAAAGCAGAAAAATCTATTATTTGGACGAGACATGGGTAAATGCAGGTCACACAGTTAAAAAAACCTGGATAGACAAAAACGTAGTGAGTAACCGACAAGCAAGCATTGAAGGTTTGTCAACAGGTCTTCGTGGACCGTCAGGGAAAGGTCAAAGATTGATCGTAACTCATATTGGTAGCGATAGTGGCTTTTTAGAAGAGTGTGACTTGATTTTCGTCTCTAAGAAAGGAGGTGGTTACCATGACGAAATGAATGCCAGCTGCTTCGAGAGCTGGTTTCAAGGGGTGCTTCAGCGAGTTGAGCCCAACTCTGTGATCGTCATGGATAATGCTTCCTACCATAGTCGTCGAGCCGAACGTGTACCGACTTTGGGATCTCGAAAAAGTGACATGCAGCAATGGTTGCGCGAAAAAGGAATCCCGTTTGACGATTCATGTGTGAAAGCGGAATTGTATGAAAAAATTAAACAGCACAAATCTGCGAACATTAGTTACGTGACTGATGAGATGGCCCGTCAATGTGGTGTCACTGTGCTGCGGTTACCGCCCTACCACTGTGAACTGAACCCAATAGAGCTCATCTGGGCTCAAGTGAATGGTTATATTGCGCGCCATAACACAACCTTCAAATTACCAGACGTTAAGGTTTTACTTGAGACTTCCATACAGCTAGTAACGAACGAAGCTTGGCAGAATGCTATCCGTCATGTTGTGAAGGAAGAAACAAAAATGTGGCAGCTTGACCACCACATCGACACCATCATAGAGCCAGTTATAGTCAATTTCAACGAGGAAAGCGATAGCGACAGTTTATTACTGTCAGATGTAAGTGGAAGCGACGATGAATAAAGGTAATTCTCAAATTTTTGACTTACAATATGTTTCAAACCACTCTTCATTAAGCATGTGACAAATCTAGTTCACCCATGTTAAACATTCATAGCCCGCCTATGAACAGCCGACTACTGGTAGTTAAGTGATGTTCACGTGAACATCGATGACTCATTACAGTTTTAGATAGTTATAGTATAGCTGTAAAAGGTGCGGTACCCTACTGAGGTTTTAAACAGATTAGTGTCGATGCCTATAGTCAAATACCAGAATTGATGACAGTAGCAGAAGTCATCGTGCGCCACTGATTTGACGCGGTACCTTTTGATTACAGCGACGGTTGCCGATAAATCACACAGAATCGCCGCATTTTCGAATGCCTCCGCGTAATACCAGTGGCGTACGATTAGTTTCGCTACTGTCATCAATTTTGGTATTTGACTATGCGTACAAGTTTGCGAATATGACACGATATATTCCAGGGCAGGGAGAGATTCGTATCGTGAAGATCTTATTGGTTGTGTTCAGTTGAAACGTAAAGTAAGTAAATGCATTGTAAAATGTACAGTTACACCTGAACATAAAGTGAAAGCTACGCCTTACTACGAAAGTGAGGAAAGAATTGAAACTGTTATACGTCATGGTTGTGCTGCTAAGCTTGGTGGATGTAAACACACAATAACGTTTTTGATCTGGCTTTTGAAAAAAAGCGAGGACCTGCAAGGACTTCAATAGAATGTTACTGGATGAAACCGGCGCTATCTAAAGATTTTAATAACAAAAGTGGAAGTTCTTCAAATTTAGACGTAGTAGAGGATCCTAACTTCTTCGAAAGATTCATTAATGAATGTAAACGAAGACAACTTAATGAGATCCAAGTAATTGCTTACTTTACAGATTCAAGCATAAAAATGCAAGATTCACTTATTTGTGCTTAATTTTTGTGTCTTGATCACCTGCTACAGTATAAACTTCAAGCAGTGGATCTTCTAGTGCTTTCGATTTTACGTGAGTCACACTGAATGAATTCTAGTGGTTACCAACTTGAAGTGGAGGGAACATCGTTCTAATATGCTTCTCATATGCTCCACATTCTGTGAAAGGCCGCACACCTTTTGGCCAGTCAAAATTATGAGGCTTTACTCCGATTTTCAGCTTCAATCTTCCACCGACTAGTTTATATTTTATCGGATTTTCAGTATCATTCTCAATCTGTAATGAAGCCTTTCGAAGTCGAAAACATCGCACATGATGCCGTACAGAGTTAACCTAATTGACGTCTTTTTAGGGGGGGTAAGTGACGCTATAGTAGCTCACACCTGTTCTCGCTGAGTTTAAATAAGTGATCTGTAATATTAGTTGATGAATGTTTTCCCTCGAAATGCCGCGTGCACAGTGAAATGACCTTGGAAATCATATAACTAATAATCATAAATAAATAGTAAAGTGATATTCTCAGATCAAAGTGGTCTTCACAGAAATATGTTGTACTTTTTGGTCCAATCAAATCATGCTTCGTAAGTTTGCACCATTTCTTCCAGATATTTTTATGGGAGGGTACGTAGAAGAAATGTTTATTAGGGGTTGTGATTGTTATACTCGTACCTTTTGGAACGATACAGTATTTATAACAACCTCTTCTTTGTTATTTCGCTCATAACCGATCGTATATGCAGTCAACTAATTAAACAAATTGGCGCGGAAGACGTTTAGCCTACCAGGTGTTCCCGCTGTACGAGGGTGGTCCCAGAAGTACCCGGCCTGACCTAGAGATGGCGATAGTTGTTTCAAAAATATCATTGTATTAGAAAGTATGCAACCTATAAAGCATATGTGTCAAGTTTGAAGACGTCACGCTGTTATTTGTTTGGCAGTCGTCGATACTGAACGTTTTCAGTGAATTTGTGAAAATGGAGAAAATTGGTAATCGTTATGTGGTACCATACTTTTATTTCAAAGGCCTCAGCTCAACCAAAATAAAAGCTGAACTGGATTCTACTCTGGGTGAGTCTGCTCCTTCGTTTACAACAGTAAAATATTGGGTAGCTGAGTTTGAACGAGGCGGTACGAGTTTCCAAGACGAGCATCGCAGTGGTCGACCAAATGAGGTGACGACTCCAGAAATGGTGAAGAAAATTCACAAAGCGGTACTGAATGATCGTCGACTGAAAGTGCGCGAGCTAGCATGATTTCTTCGTTGGGTCGGGTACTTCTGGGACCACCCTCGTATGTGTACCTGTACCTATGTATGCGTTTAGGAAATTTAGTCGGCCAAGGCCGTCGCAACTGGATAGTGAAGTGTGACGTCACGAGTCGCGTTGAGACGGAATAAAAATATTCTCGCGAGGCGCAACTTTGATTAGCTGTAACTTTTTTGTTTTTATAGATAAATCAATAATTTTTTCACCATCTTGTTTCATTGTTCTTGAAATTTCATTTGAACGCTCTATTTTGAGGTGATATTTTCTTTATGAATTCTAAGAAATTTCCGGCTGATAAAACTTGATTTTTATCAGCCTGAAATAGAAGATTCAAAAGGAAAACATAACCTCGAAACAACAGAGCGCGGACGCTGACACGGAACAGTAGAAATCTAGAAATATCCCAGCCTATCTGAAGGAAATAAAAAACTATGAAAATCAAGGAGGCCATAAAGGCGTCCTACAATTATAGGATCCACTGACGATACGGCCCTTAGTGAATTGCAATAGCTGTTTGGTTCAAAATTTTAGATTGCAACTTTCTTTACGTTATAGTTTAGTTGCAACATCTTTAGTAGACGTCTCAAATGTTAATGTTACAGCTTTTAGTAAACACAACCCACTTTTCCAAGCTTTTTTTAACTATGTATACTAACTTTGTATCAAATCAATATGCAGATTAAAAAAAGTTTGGAACTCATCAAATATCTGACGAATGTCTCCAATTTTTTTAAAAATCGGAGGTTTCGGTTTGAAACCACAGCGAATCCGTTGATGATATCCGCGACGTTGCCAAATCTACAGTTTTTCAGAAACTGTCAGCAACTTTTGTTTTTTATATGGAATGCTATACGAGTACATTTTATTCGATACTTGTATCCTGCGAGAAATTCCGAATACTTTTTATCGAACATACTTTGACGTAGACCCCATAGTTTTCGAAATGTTTAATTTTCAAACAATAGAAGGTATTTTTTCCACCTAAGGAATGACTGGTATGGAAAGTAAATTCCTGTCATTTCTGACATTTTAAAGTCCATTGTGTTTTGTTAGTAGAGTTATTCAGAATAGAAATTTAATGATTCTGAGTTATGGCAATCGTCGATGCACACACCAAAAAGTTTGCGATGTTTTCAATGACAAATATCCCCACCGGTATCCAATAACAAGGTCTACTGTTGGAAAAGTTTTGACTTTTTAATGTCAGAAATGACAGAAAATTATTCTCCATATCGATCATTGCTTAGATGAAAAAAATACCTTTTGTTATTTCGAGAAAACTATGAGGTCTACGTCAAAGTATGTAAGTATTCAAACAGTCTCGCAGAATACAAATATTGAATAAAACGTGTAGCATCCCATACAAAAACAAAAGTTGCAAAACTGTATATTTGGCAACATCGCGGATATCATCAACGGATCCGCCTAAACCCACCGATTTTTGAAAAAATTGGACAGATATTTGATGCCTTCCAAAGTCTTGTTACATATTTTATTGACCATTTGAGATGAGCAGATAAGCAGTACCATTGACTTAAGCCCCATCAGACGGTCACTAAAAGTATACGGATTAAATTAATGCGAGAGATGCGAGTTATTTTAGTATTTTTGCGGAAGAATTGTTGTTTATCTGACAGGCGTCACTTTCACTGATCGCGTCCACGTTTTCGGACATCACTTTGTAGGCTTCATCAATCAGTTTATCCATATTTTCAGGCGTGTATCCCTCGGTGGAAATCGATGGCAGGATGCGAATCTTTATATGGCCTGAAATTAAGATTATTAGAAATTAGTAATAACAGCACCGATCTGTAGCAAGTCGTCTCTCAAATCATAAGGTCAAACTTCTGAATATCTTTCCAAAATCACGTTTCTATTTTTCTAAAACACAAAAAATGGACACATACGAGTTTTCACATTTCGTCATTTATGGGGTGCGCTTTTTATAGTTGATGGAATACTTATACTAAGTGACATACAAATCCGAACACCCAGTTTAAATGGTTTTATTTCAATAAAATTTTGTATAAGTACTTAATGAAGCATAATAAGTAAATGATAAAAATTTCAAAATGATTGCACTGCTTTAAAGCCCTTTGACCTTTAATGATGTGTGGATGCACCCTGATGTGCTACGCATTCTCCAACGCGCCTAGGCATGCTTCTGATCAGGTGGTCAATGTCCTCCTGTGGTATCTCATTCCAGGCAACCACCAACTCGTCTCGAAGTGCTTCTAGAGTCTGAGGAGTACGTTGCACATTGAGCAATCTCCTACCCATCATATCCCACACGTGCTCAATTGGGGATAAGTCGGGAGATCTTGGTGGCCATGGTAACAATGTGACATCATTATGTTGAAAGAGGTCTATTGTGACTCTTGCAACATGTGGTCGGGCATTATCTTGTTGGAAAGTTGGATCTGCCAGGGTGTCAAGATAGGGTAAAAGATGGGGTTCTAGAACTTCGTGGATATAACGCTGCGCGTTCATGTTACCTCTGATGAAGATTAAAGGTGACCTGGAACCATAAGCTATAGCACCCCAAAACATAACTCCAACAGTGTGATGAAGATGTCTTTCAACAAAAAACTGTTGATTCCTCCTTTCACCACGTCGCCTTCTAACCCTGGCACGACCATCGTGCATGCCTAAACAAAATCGAGACTCGTCACTAAAGACAATACTGTTCCATTCCTGATCCCAGAGTGACCGTTGTCTGCACCACTCAAGGCGATTACGTCGGGGTTCTCGAGTTAAAGGGAGGACCCAGTGTGGCCGGTATGAAAACAAGCCAAAACTTCTCATTCGCCGGTAAACACTTCACATGCCAATAGATCTTCCGTGTTCTGCAAACCATTCATTTGCAATGGACCTGGTAGTGGAGAAACGGTCCCTTAAGGCCAATAATCTTAGGCGGCGATCTTCACGGTCTGTTGTTCTACGGCGGCGTCCAGTGCCCCTTGCTCTTTGCGTACGGCCTTCTCGAAGCCATGCCTGACAACACCTAACCACAGTGTCTACACTTCTTTGCACTCTAACTGCAATTGCCCGAAAAGAAAGTCCAGCTTCCCGAAGTCCCACTATACGGCCCCTATCAAACTCACTAAGTTGACGAAATCGTACAGGTCTCCGTACTCTAGGCATCGTAACCGATCGTAAAGGATGTCAAGAACCAAAATCCGCCAATGTTGATTCTGTACTGCGGCTGAAATATTTATTTTTAGAGCGTTAGTGAATTAAAAAAAAGCAGTATAAAAACCGGAATGTCCAACTGATAAGGCTGAAAATTTTTTCACTTGTTATTTACAGTAAGATAAATACATTCACCAACTTTTATTAAAATAAAACCATTTAAACTGGGTGTCTGGATTTATATGTCACTTAGTATATTTGATAATATTTCTTGAGGTCTTGTGTTACCTAGAAAATCGTTCTCAATATATTTTTTCAAGCGTATCCTAAACATCAAATTTTCAAAAAATTACGTCTGATGTACCCTAAGGCTCGGTCCTTGGGCCGCTACTTTCTCTCAAATTTTCAGGAAATTAAGTCTGGTGTTCCCCAAGGCTCGGTTCTTGGGCCGCTATTTTTCCTTTTATGTATTGCTGACGCTCCAAGAAGTGTCAACAACTCAGAGTTACAATCCTTTGCGGACGATACTCAGGTCCTTCTCTAATTTGATATAATGTCCACGATTCTCAAAAAAATTTAAACTCTGACATTGAATGGCTGTCAATTTTCAAAATCGCACAATCTTGAAATAAAGACATCAACGCCAAATGCAATGCTTCTTTGCTCTGAGCCTAGGAGGTAGGCTGTTGTATCATTGTTATCGGTGGTGACTGGTACAGAAAAAATAAATTTCTCTCCATGTAGAAAAATATTACGAGTTACTATCGACCAGAGAGTTAGGTTCGCGTAAAGAATCTCCTAAAGAATTTATACCTGCGACTCCGTGCTTTATATGCTAACAAGTTTATCCTGAACTTCAAATTGAGGAAAAAAAACTGTGCGAGTCATCAAACTTGTAATCATAGCTATTTTTTTCGAAAAACCACTAACGGATTTAAAAGAATTAAATATTGATTAATTTGGAACCTGCACATTGTTGATATATGATTCATTGTAACGAAATTATTGAGCACGTGTTAAACATCCGGGGGATCCAAAAAGATGTAATATAAAAGTTTCAAAAATTAATTAATCTTCAATTCTTTTAAATTTGTTAGTGGTTTTTCGAAAAACATAGCTATGATTTTTCAGTCATTTTTCTAAACAAACCTCATGTTTGATCGTTCTACTATGTGGTCTCATCCACTTTCTTCTAAGAACAGTTCAGCAATAACCTAGCCGAATTAGTAATAAAATATCACTTAATTGTTTATGGTAGCTATTTTCTAAATTTATTTTTTGCTCCTGATGATGATGGCATAGACCATCGAAAGCTCGAGTTTTAAGTTAAAGGAGTACAGTTTGCAATTTTTGTCGAGTTCCCAAAGACATAAGACATAAGGATACGTTCTCTTAGCCAGTTACGACAAATAACTATGCAACTACAAAGGTAGATATACTAAGTGACATATAAATCCGAACACCCAGTTTAAATGGTTTTATTTTAATAAAAGTTGGTGAATGTATTTATCTTACTGTAAATAACAAGTGAACAAATTTTCAGCCTTATCAGTTGGACATTCCGGTTTTTATGCTGCTTTTTTTTAATTCACTAATGCTCTAAAAATGAATATTTCAGCCGCAGTAAAGAATCAACGTTGGCGGATTTTGGTTCTTGACATCCTTTACGATCGGTTACGATGCCTAGAGTACGGAGACCTGTACGATTTCGTCAACTTAGTGAGTTTGGTAGGGGCCGTATAGTGGGACTTCGGGAAGCTGGACTTTCTTTTCGGGCAATTGCAGTTAGAGTTAGAGGCATGGCTTCGAGAAGGCCGTACGCAAAGAGCAAGGGGCACTGGACGCCGCCGTAGAACAACAGACCGTGAAGATCGCCGCCTAAGATTATTGGCCTTAAGGGACCGTTTCTCCACTACCAGGTCCATTGCAAATGAATGGTTTGCAGAACACGGAAGACCTATTGGCATGCGAAGTGTTTACTGACGAATGAGAAGTTTTAGCTTGTTTTCATACCGGCCACACTGGGTCCTCCCTTTAACTCGAGAACACCGACGTAATCGCCTTGAGTGGTGCAAACAACGGTCACTCTGGGATCAGGAATGGAACAGTATTGTCTTTAGTGACGAGTCTTGATTTTGTTTAGGCATGCACGATGGTCGTGCCAGGGTTAGAAGGCGACGTGGTGAAAGGAGGAATCCACAGTTTTTTGTTGAAAGACATGTTCATCACACTGTTGGAGTTATGGTTTGGGATGCTATAGCTTATGGTTCCAGGTCACCTTTAATCTTCATCAGAGGTAACATGAACGCGCAGCGTTATATCCACGAAGTTCTAGAACCCCATCTTTTACCCTATCTTGACACCCTGGCAGATCCAACTTTCCAACAAGATTATGCCCGACCACATGTTGCAAGAGTCACAATAGACCTCTTTCAACATAATGATGTCACATTGTTACCATGGCCACCAAGATCTCCCGACTTATCCCCAATTGAGCACGTGTGGGATATGATGGGTAGGAGATTGGTGGTTGCCTGGAATGAGATACCACAGGAGGACATTGACCACCTGATCAGAAGCATGCCTAGGCGCGTTGGAGAATGCGTAGCACATCAGGGTGCATCCACACATTATTAAAGGTCAAAGGGCTTTAAAGCGGTGCAATCATTTTGAAATGTTTATCATTTATTTATTATGCTTCATAAGTACTTATACATAATTTTATTAAAATAAAACCATTTAAACTGGGTGTTCGGATTTATATGTCACTTAGTGTATATATACACACATGCCCATATATCCGGATACAGGTGTAACCTGAGGAAACGAAGATGGAGAGGGAAAAAATTACACACGGAGTCACAACAAGAGCCAACCTGTCGTATAAAATCGCTAGAGGAACTCGAATTTTCAAAGCGACATTTAACCACAACCACGCGGCCGTTTATAACCACTTGCTGTGGTACTTCAAGCTCCAAGGATCTACAAAGAGAAAATGATCATATAACAAAAAAAAATCAGAAAATAATATTCGAAATCCGCAAAAAGAAGGAAAGTGGATTCGAGCAGAAGATAGGATAGGTAACCCGAGCGATACGTATTTTTGCTGGTTGACTTCATCAGGTGGGCTCTTGTTGGAGACTTCGTGTGTCATATTTTTCCATTCTCCGTCTTTGTTTCCTCAGGTTACCTCCGTTACAGAACGTACACCTATGTATGTGTATCTTCCTTCGTGGGCCACTTGTTCATTTAGAAAACGACCGATATGACATGTCCACTGTTCACAAAACTGATTCCAAAGATTTAGGTATTTCAATTTCAACTCAATAAATCCGCAGTTAGTGCCTTGTGTTGAAGTTTCAACCCATTAAGGAGATGGAAGAGCGACCACCATAAAGTTTGAGGATTGACTACCCAACTAGCAAAGTAGTGCTATAAGATTTTGGTAAAAGAACCGTTCAGCCATAAGAGCTCTCTATTGTTGTTGCCTGAACAGCAAAACGCTGGCTTAATGTTGTGTGGAATGCAAATGTGCTTTCTGCAACATATTTGCTCTAAAATGTGGTGTTTAGAATATTCTTATAGCATAGTTATACAACACCTTATAGGACAAATTTTTAACTGTTGCATAAACG